ATTTATTGCGGATGATTTTGTTCTGAAACGTTTTTGTCTCCTTCCTAAAATACAGACTTTGACAAGGAAATGTTCTTTTATTTAATGCATTTTTATATAATTGTACAGATGCAAAAATTATAAAATCATTTAATATATTTATTAAACTATAATTAAACTTATTATTAAATTATGAAATTAATTTAATATTTAAACGAGAAATATTAGAATCAATAGTCTGGTATAAATTTAGAGATGCTTAAAATATTCGGAAATATTTTCTGAATTTTTTCTCGATAGGTAATATGAGGATTGAGAAGTGGTCGACTTAAGAAGATGTAAAGAACCCTTGAATTAATTAAGGAAAATATTCGAAAACTTGTGTTTTTGTAATCGGATCGCGTTTTAAACAAATGTTTCATTTGAATTATTGACAAGAAGAGACTACGAAGGATTTACTTAAATATTTTATCGAATTTATTAAGAAAATATTCACGTTTACCTAACACTTTATGGGATAGAATTAAACATTTCTGCTGGAAGAATGGTAAACAGGAGAATAAATTAACATCTATAAAACAGTATCGCTATATTATATTATAATTAAAATTATCAGTTATATTATATAACAAGATCAAAGTAAATTTTAATTAATTTTTACGAAATTAGGGCGTGCAAAAATTCTCAGATAAGTTAATTCTCCTTGCACAAATCCATTGAAAAAAGATGCGTTTCTGTCTTGAAAGGCAAATTGAATATAATTTTGGTTAAGAAAAACAAAGTTTTTAAAATTAATTCGATACTACTTTCTCGAAAAATCAATAATTTTCTTTTCCAATTTTGACGTAATTTTATACAGAAACAGATCGACAGAAACAAATAATAAAAATTCCCTCACTTTTTATTGATGTATTCTCGATACGAAGTAAAAGTTTCATTAAAATTCGTTACACAGTTTTAATATAACGAACATTTAATATAAATATTTCTTTGAACTCCTTCATATAATCGGATCATACATATTTAAAATCAATAAGATTTATCTGTATTCAAACACGTTACTAATTTTACTTAGTTGTTTTCCATACTCTTAATTAATATTTAAATAATTGTATACAAATAGTTTATAATTAAAGTTTGTCGTCCTTCTTAGAAACATTAATTCAATTATAATAATTTATATTATATTACTTTAATTTCGAATTATTCTATGTGATTTTTTTCACGTTTATTTTCAAAAATGTCTCGACGGGTCATCAACACTTTCCTGGTATTGGCATTTCCTGAGAATATCGACATAATTTGTACAATTATGCCGATATCTGTTGGAAAATTCACTTTTTTTCTATAACTGGTCGAACGATGACTTAGTATAAAAGTTGAGTGAAGGAAAGTAACAACATTCCTTTCCTTCACCTATCGAACAATCTTCAATAAATATTAAATTTATGAAGAATTTATGATAGAGGCCAAAGAGCGTGTAAATTAATGTAAGTTTGATAGGAAAATTATTTTTTTTAAATTCAGTGTAAATAAAATAGCACTTCGAAAGTCATTTAAAAAGAGAGAAACGAACTTTAAACAGGAAAACGTATTCGAAACTCAGAAAAATAGAATTTTTAGAGACTCGATCTACGAGTCTCTAAACGATTTATTGAAAGTCTTTCGTCTTCTCTCAAATGTCGGGTTCGAATCCTCTTCGCAAATCAATAGAAATCAATCCACTGAATAGGTGAAGTGCTCGTATTTTTCCATTTTCCATTCGTAGTTTGGTTAGCAATACTAAAATTCAAGTAGTACAGAGTAATCTAGCAAAAAATTAAGCTATATGTAGATCCATTCAGACAAACTCAGAAATATTGCGACTAAGGAATCATGATGAGAATAGGAATCTGTATATTATGTAGCAAAAAATATATGATACTAGGGTAAATACTACAGATAGGAAGATATCACTTTTCTCGAATTCGAATATTCGAACACCTAGAATACTTAGTGAACTTATAATTTACTTTGTTTTATTTATTTTAATATATTAATAAAATAAAAGATAAAAAAAAACTATTTCTTTTTTTTATTACTTATTTATTATAAATTGTTAAATTTCTAAGAATTCGAGAAAATTGATGTTCGTAAATGCTTCAGAAAATGTATTCGGAATTTTGGCTTTATGTAAAGAATATACAACCAAAAATTTTCAAAAAGTGAATATTTGAGCTGAATCGATTGGTAAAGAATCGAATCCATCTGTCACTTCTCGAAAATGTGGAATATTCGAAACGAGAGAATCGAAACTCTTCGATCGTTTCGAGGATTTTCCGGAATTTCGGGAATCCCGATTGTCCCATCTCATTAATGACGTTCGGGCACACCCAACAGAGTATCATTTGGCGTTTACTACTCTTAATCGGAGCGTAACTCTCTCGCCTCTAACTTTTATTACAGCTGGAAACTTTAGCTTAAGAAAACGGATGAAAATGTTACTTTATTATGTGCGTATATTAACCCCGAATGTACAAAAAGTATTTTCACCGTCAGAAGTAGGTAATAGCATTAACAAAACGGAAGTTGTTCGTTAACGTTTGGAAAAATTCGAACATCCCTCGAGTGTCGTAACTTCGAATTTTCAATCGTGGCCAATTTTATTACCGGTTTTTACGATATCTTTACTGTAGACGAAGCGCTTTCTTAATAGACGTTTCGTTGCATTATCTAACAAACGTGTACAGTTACAGAAATGTAGAATAACTTATTCCCTAGAAGCTTATGTTGTAACCCGTTTAAATTAGACGGAAACGATACTCGTATCTATTATATAGAATTGTATATAATGCGCGTTATTCGCGTACTAACTCTTTAATTACACGATTGCTATAATATTAATTAAACGTAGTTAACTTTCTAGACCATTTACTTTAAACAATTCATCGACATATACGCATTTACTCCGAAACTTAATTAAATTCCAACGCTTGTTCAAATATCTATTTTATCTCTCGTATTGTAAAACTGATATTATTCTCTTTATTTAAATTTCTTCAAAGATGATAACGAAATCAGCCTGTGGATGTACGCCATGATCTGCATCGGATGTGGTTTCGTCATTTTCGTAGCAGTAACTGTGTACCTCATGTGGTAAGTATCGTTTTCAAAGCTTTTCATGTTCATGAGTGTTCGTTGTGATCATATTTTTCCTTGGTTAGCATGCCAGATAGAACATAGCCTTGTGAGTAATTTCCTGTTTCAATTGAAAATGTAACTATCAGTAGAATTTTACGCGGTGATTGACTAACGTCGTCGTATTTTTCTTTTCTTTTCTAGTAAGCAACATTCGTTCCTGAGGGATCGAGAAGATCGCATCCTTCGAATGAAGACTTACGCAGATAGGTGTTGTTCCGATTTTTCGGAGGCCAACACCGTGGCATGAAAATGTCTAGAAACAAGAATGTTTATCGACATAATCCGTCGGAAGACGACTCGAAATTCATTTATCACTTTTGCAGTCGAACGGCTGATGGAATGTGCCTTTTGGCTCTTCGCATAACTCCTTTTGTAAATAGACTATTCCTTCCTAAACTCTAATTATTTTCGCTACGAGTGAAGCCGTAAGAATCTGGATATCGTATCGTAAATTTATATTTTAAATAGTAGACTTTCCATGCGATACTTCAAAACTGTTAGATGTTAAACCTTAATTTGATACGGCATTTTTTGTGTTGGATACATTTCTTACACTCTGTGAAAACATTCTTATCTCTAATCTTTCCGAGTGCTGTAAATTAAACGACGTTTTAAAAGTTATATAAAAATTAGATCGTCTATCTTACAAATTACTTACCACATTGAGTAGATAATGAATATGACGTATATAACAAATGATAAACCAACAAAGATAATTGCAAACATCCAAAATGTAACCTCTTCTGTAAGTATAAAGATTATATAACAAATGGTTTTTACGAGTCATTATATAATTTCAAATTTATTTTGGAACAATTGATTAAACTTAAACCGGACGGAATTTAATTACATAATATCGAAATTTAATTACGCGAGTGCATATCTATGGCGGATGTAGAAGTCACGCAGCACGAGTGAATATCGAAACTGATAAAGGAAGGAAAAAGAAAAAAAAGCGTAACTTATCGATCTATATCTAAGAGCTAGATAAACAGATAAAGGAGAGAAGTCGATAAATCAACAAGTCGATACCGAGAGATTCCTTTCCGAGATTCGGAAAAAATGTCTCTCGCATCCTCTTCCTCCATTAATTCGTGCCAAGTTGGAAAACATCATTAACCTTCTTTAGCGTTTGATATCGTCTCTAACACCGAGAAAATTTCATTTTTATTCTTTACGTATCGGTTTAAAATAACAACATTTCTAGCAAACATCTCGAACATTCCGACATTTAAGTAAACAATTAAATCATCCTCCCTTCGTCGAACAACAAATAAGATAAGCGTAATATCAAAAATATGCAATTTTCGCATCTCGTTGATTCGTATCTTATTTAATTACAAAAAGAATGCAATTACATAACGCTAATTTTAATATACTTACAACAATAAACGCGAATAAAATTCTTGAAAACAATTTAAAGTTTTCGTTTTGTTTAAAACTATAATTATAATCTACTACTTCCGACGAGAAGGCGTTAACTTGTATAAGATAACAACAATTATATATAAATTTTGAGGCCCGTAACTTTAATAAAACAAAAAAAAATTAAATAAATAGAAATTAAAGTATTACAAAAGATAAATTAATTCGGGACTGTCGTTACTTACCGGGTTGATAGACGAAATTTATGTCTGGTGTGGAAGTAGAATCGACGTTATCCATATTTCAAAGAATATAATAGCAGAATTCATGCTCGAGTGGCTTGCCAAGTGGCATCAAGCCAAAATTCCCATTGCACGACGGGTAACGTAACGACTGTTGATTCCTCTCATGCCCCTAATTAACGCTTATTTGATAAATTAAGCTTTTATCCGTTAAAGAAAGAGAGAAAAAAAAATGGCGCACTTCCTTCTTTGCCGAGTGATATCTGTTCGAACTTTAACTTAATCAACCGCAAATAACTGTAAAATATGATGAAAAAAAAATTCGTATTTTTATTTTTAAAAAATGTAACCTTTATAAAACAAGAACGTCATTTATCATTTTATAAAGAGAAAATAAGAAAATCGAATTAAATGAGTCGGACGAGTTTAACATCGAAAGATGTTGTTAACCTTCATTCATCATGAAATAACGAGATTTTCAATCCGAGTAATAATTTAATTATGTTTATATCCGAGAAAATAGTATTTTAAAATAATATTTGCATCGCATTTTAACTTTAAGTATTAATTAATTTTAAAAAAAGACATTTGATAAAAGCGAAAAAATAATAATATTTGTGCTTAAACGTGCCATTTACTATAACTGCTATGGAATGAATTTATGAACTACACAACTATATCTTTAGTAATGTTTTCTAAAATTTACGTATAAGATAGTTTATTTTATAATATAATTTATAATATAAATATTTATTTATTTTTATAGAAATTGTAGAAAATCGTAATATTAAACTAGTAATTCTTAAAATAGTATAGGATCTACGAATTATTATTTTATCTTTTATCATTCTCTTAAATAATCGAATTTTATTTCGAACGCAATTCAGTCGAAATTATCTTTTTGCATTATTACACACTTTAAAATATATTTGATAGAAAATGCATTTTCTTTCATCCCATTTGGTTACACGATACAGGTATTGACATTCGATAAATTCTCTATAAATCATCGCCTATCTAATGCTCGATGTTTACTTTTACTTTATTTTAAAAATCTCTAAATTTATATACAAAAAAAAATATGAGATTTATCTTTATCATTTACATTTAAATAACTTTTATATTATTATTTTTTTAATAATTTAAATTGTCTTTTCTGATTAAGAATGGCCAAAAATATCATTACCTTCCGGATTGAGCGAGACATTAGGACAACCCGCCTACGTCTTAACTAGGAAATTTTGTTTTGTAAAGAAGGAAATCTTACACTCTTCAAACATCTAATACTTAATTATAAAATTTAAAAGCGATGAGATAAACTTATCGTCGTTTCCTTTAATAAAGTCGGAGGCGACTCTCTTGTTTCTTCTTTGTGAGTAGCTCTACGCGTAATTAATATCGAAACAACTACTGCATCTAATCTTTGTTGATCTCGTAGGATGACTCTTAACTGCATTACAGATACCGATAAGTAATTAACTTTCTCTTACGCGAATGAATTATTCACTCGTTATGTTAATTTTTTAAACTGTAGCTTCATTTTTATTGTAATTAATTATTATTATTATTATTTTTTAAATGTATGAAAAGACCTCCTTCCGTAATGGAGTCTACTCTTCTATAAGAGTAAACGTCGATGCCGAATTTTTTTTCTACAACGAAAACGTTAAATTATTACATTTAAACAAACGTCAACATGTCCTAAATACAGCTTCTTGCTAGGTCAAGCGAATCGAACACATTTTATATACGTTGACGAATATTCTAGTTAAATTTTTTCGCATTTTAGCATATTTAAGAGGTAATTTGTGATGTTTTTTCTTACGATTATATGGTAAAATTTTTCAATTTTTAATATATTTACCTTAAGGAAGTTTGATGAATTGTTAATTGCTTTCGCTTCCCTTTTTATAACATAATTGGTAAGCGGAACAATATGCGTTACCAATCAATAAAATGATTAATTTGTATATTGTTATCGAGAAAATACTCGGATCGATATGCCTCTTACTATATTCTATCATCTCAGAACTTTAATAAATATATTTATTTTTAGAAGAACCGACAAAATTGCCTTCTCCCCTTATCCATAAAAGAGTTATGCGGCGAAGAAGAGTCAATATCCAGCGATTAAATAGTTTTTATAATGAAAAAAATATTATGTTTTGTTATGAAAAAATGACTTGTATAATATAAAAAATTTATGAGAATTTTTACGTTGTTTATAAATACAAAATGTCTTGTATATAAAATATAAAATTATTATTATCTTTACATTCAATCTACACAAGAAAAATATCTGTAGAAAAGAAGCAATTTCTCATTATTTATATAATAAATAATTTAATTACATACAAATGTTACCACAGTGTTTTCCAATCTGTGGGGCGCCAGGCTATTGCAAGGAGGGAAGCGCAGCTTTTACCAAATTATCATTTTTTAATACAAATAAACAAAATAAGTCAAATCAATGTCGAAAAAATGAATCAGAAAAACAACCTTTGTGGGTACGAATGCTAAAAATCCATCCACACTCTTGCCGAAACGTCTGTACTGTACAAGAGTCGAGCCCGACGAACAATATACTTTATTTAATAAGGTATATTGTTTTATAGGTCATTAAATAAATTATAAGAACAGAATTTATAAAATTAGATTGTTACGAAAATTGAGGGGGGTGCAACAATTTTTTTCTGAAAAAGAGAGGGTGAAAGTACTGTATAGAAAGTATGGAAACCATTATGTTAAGACAAATTCATTAAATATTACATTTTCTTTTTAAAGAAATAAACTATTAAATCATTATCATCTCGATAAATATAGTTTATTAATTATATTCTGATATACATTTTATATATTAATCTTCAACGAATGAGAAATATTTAACACGTGGCGTACGAAAGAAGCTGTAAACAGGTAACATAATTATCTTCCGTATGAAAATGTATGAATGTTATTTACAGAAGACTACCCTTTAGCTTTAACGTCTTCCTATGGCCAACGACGTTTTTCGGTGGGTCGAAAAAAGGCACGTGAAACACCAACTGAGACGGGACTTAACAAAGAAAGGTGTGGAACGAAAGCGGAGGCGCCAGGTAAGATGGCACCGTTCACGGAGGGTAGGCTTTCATCCGAAGGCCGCGCACTTCTTGCTGGTTTCTAGCCGAAGACTTTTGGGTACTGAAAGATAATTAGACCACTTGAAGGACATTCTACTTCATTTTTTTTACTTTTCTTTTTGTTAAAACGAATCTCACTTACCACATAAGATAGACAGTTACCGCCACGAATATTACAAAAGCACATCCCACGCAAATCATGGCGTACATCCAAAAACTCACTTCGTTATCATCTGTAATTTATTTCACAGTTAATCTAAGTAATTAGCCTTCAAAATTTAATATTGTCATTTAACTGTTTATATTTTATACTAACTTAAATTTAATTAAGGTAATAAATAAAATATTCTCTTTTAGTATTCGATTTGTTAAGAAAACCGTTTTTTTTCCTATTAATCGCACTGCGATTGGCTGTTAAAAATGTAAATTTCGTTTTTGTATAACGTAATTGGATAGCGATCATTTTTAAATTTGAAAATTATTTTTAACTCCGTGGATCCGTTAATAATCAAATTTGAAAATATCTTCTACGATTTAATTCGAAATTACCATGCAGAAAAACCGATTTAATTGCAAAAATATAACATAAAAAGAAAAAAAAACATCATGAAATATATGTATAGGAAGATCCATAGAACCGATCAATCTCATTAATTATTATATTAGTTGTTAGATAGAATAATAAAATATAATCCATTATTTCGGAAAATATATGATGTAACCATTATATACACAGGCCTATCGATTTTTTTTTTCATTATTATTAATTAAAATTTACGTTTTCTTTAAAGAAACGAAAGTTATAAATAACTAGAAAGGAGCAAAAAAAAAAAAAAAAAGATTATTTTCCGGACGATGCTATAGTTAATTTATTTTGCAATAAATTTTTCAATAAATTCCGGTCAAATGCTCATCCGGAAATGGAAAATTTCGCTCCGGGATATTCAATGTTAACTGGAGGAGGAAGTGGTCATTGCCAAAGTAATGTCAACATCTATTAAATCTGTACTCTAACAGGTTTCCGTTAGATCAATTCTCATTAAAGCGTTATAACTTCGAATAAATCTTTTAAAATTTAACTTTAACATTTAATTATTTATATAATTTAACTTAACTTAAATCTTATTAAATAGAAAATAATTTTAATATAAAATTTCGTTAATTTTTTTATGAATTAAAGAAAGATCAAAAACTCGTGTTTAATGACCAAAAAATTTTAAAAAAACTTAATTATTATTAAGTATTTTTTTTTACTTAATTAAAATATAAAAATAGCAATAAATAAATATTTTATAGAAAAAAAAATTACTCGAAGTTGAAGTTTTTATAATAATACAATTGTAAAATTCTTGTCTTCTTAATACTATTTAATATCTTATTATTATTAATAATTTAATAAAATTTTATATACATATTTTTAATTTATTACCCTAAATACAGCTTCTTGCTAGG